AATTTTAAAATCCACATCTAGAAATCTCTTCAGAAACATTCTTACAAGTTTGCAAATGCATACATAGATATGGATGCTTTTGGCAGAATTGCTGGTTACCACAAAAACTTGGAAACTACCTGTATTTTCAAAAGTTGAAATCTAGTTAATGACCGGTGGGCATAGTACATTCCTACTATGGCAGCCATTTCACGGGTGAAGGTAAGCTAGGCAGGTCTTTGTGTACAGGCACAGAGAAATGTCATAGAAAAAAAAGCAGATCACAGGATAGTAGAGTGTGAGCCATGTGTGTTACTTCTGTCATTAAAAACCATAAAGTCTTTAAATATAACATTACACTGAAATTGTAGGCAGGTACAGTGGTGTTCCTTAAGAAATACCGGTTTCACTGTATTCTGTTCAATAAATTCTATAACTTGGTGATTTCTCAAAAAAAATTCTGTATTCTGGAGCTAGAACCTTCTAATGGGTTTCTCGGATCCTGTTGATAGTTTCAAATGGTCCTTTATCACTTATACAATTCTAGAAATGTATCTTCAAGTAATATCTGAACAATTGTGTAAAGGCACTCATGGTGTTTATAACAAAAATTGGAACCATTCTAACTTCGTTAATAGTAAGTTGCTAAACAAATCATGACGTATCCAATTGATGGAATACTAACCCAGCCATCAAAATAGTGCTACAGATCTGTATTTATTGATAAATGTGTCCATAATCTACTGCTAAGTAGAAAGGCTTTTGAAGCAATATAGTAGTATAATTCCATTTTTCTTTAAAAAAATAAAATTAAACACATAGGAAGTCAGGAAGGATATATGCCAAATGCAAATTATGGGTTATCTACTTTTGTTACCCTTTCTGCTTTTAAGACTTTATTGTAAGCATGTATTACTTTTCGAATGAAAGGGAATAAGTTATATCCACTTTTTCCCCCCAGAAAAATAAAACCAAGTAAAATAAAAATTTTAAAAATACAGACAAACAAAAGTAGTAATGCTCATTTGAAGCTCATCTCTGCCCTCTCTGCAGATCAGGAATTCTGGTTGGGGAATAAAGCTGTGACCTAATGGCTAGATGCACTACCTGCCTCACTCCCCTGCCCCTGAGGCATGGTATTTTAACTGATTGGTTACTCTTGTCCTTTCCCTTCTTCTAAAAATTGCACCTGGCCCGGCCGGGCGTGGCTCAGTGGTTAAGCGTCGACCTAGGATCCAAGCGATCGGGGTTCGATTCCCGGTCAGGGTTGCGGGCTCGATCAATGACTCTCTCATCATTGATGTTTCTATCTCTCTCTCCCTCTCTTTTCCTCTCTGAAATCCATAAAGATATATTTTAAATAAATAAATAAATAAATAAATAAATAAATAAATAAATAAATAAATAAATAATAAAAATAAAAATTGCACCTGATGTCCATTGGAGGCACTTGACCAGATGTAAGAGTCTAACTGAGCTCTGGGTATTAGTTCCCTGAGGGTTTCTTGGATTTGGAGGGCATGAAAAGTTGCTTATGAACTTTCATCGTTTACACCCCCCATGACACCCCCAAGGGTCATAGGTTGATCCTGTGCCCATGGTAGCTGTCTAGTAACATCCACATGAGTGATGGACATATAACTGGAGCCAGAGTGCAGGTCTGGTTATTGTTTTTGGTTTTTCTTGGTGATGAAAGAATTTTGACAGTGCCCAGAATTGTTCAAAGCAAAATTGGTTTAATAACAATGAGAATAGCAATGTACCTGATTTCTAGAATAAAAATAGCATTGTAAAATTGAGTTATAAATTGCAGTTTAAAAATGAGCTCAAAGGCATACTTCTGTTCTTTGATAATAGAGTTTAATGTTGCTTTTTAAGTTGACAACAGTAGATGGCAGTGTCCCTCACACTAGAAAAACTTTGAAGAAGGAAACTGCATTAATTGGGCTAAGCTAGTTTTTAGGACAAGAACTTAAGCACAGACTCCTTTGTTTATAAGGAGGAAAAGCCTGTTGTCATTTTTAATACTTTATGTTACAAAGTGAAAATACAGTTATGATTTTAAATCAAATTCCCTAGAGACACTTTAGTGCACTTTATTCTTCCTAAATATATGTCCACTGGCTGCCAGCTTCTCTTCTATTGAAAAGGAATAATAGGACATGACAGTAATAAATATGTAGTGTTGGGTGCAGAAGAATGTTCTTCTAAGAACAGTGATGGTGTGCATCCTGTGGCCATTAGTGTAGAGGTGATAGAGGAAAGGATAAGAACAGCATAAATGGATGGAGTTTGGGGTTTTGTGATCAGTCTAAGATCACTGTGTGGCTTAAAATGTCACCTGAGAATCAAGATACAGATGTAAAAAGTGAGCTATAGTAAGACTTGCTGTCCTTTGTTTCATGTGAAGTATATAAAGATAGGTAGATGTGTCCTTTGTGACTAGAAGAAAAGGAAAACCTTCCTTCCCTCCGTCCCTCCGCCCCTTCCGTTCTTCCTTCCTTTTCCTCACCTGAGGATATTTTTTCCATTGCTTTTCAGAGAGAGGGAGAGAGAGAGAGACACATTGATTGGTTGCCTCCCGCACTCGCCCCAACTGGGGCTGGGGATCGAGCCTGCAACTGAGGTATGTGCCTTTGGCCGGAATTGAACCTGGGACCCTTCAGTCCACAGGCCAATGCTCTAAACACTGAGCCAAACTGGCTAGAGCAAAACTATTTTCAACAGAGGAGAAATTACACTTTTCCCCCCCTGTTTTAATTATAAAATTATTTCTTGCATAAGTGGATATAGTGTAAATGAAAGGTGTAATCCCTAGTGTTTTCAACACTAGAAATATTTCAACGTCTGTCCTTACTCCTTAATTTATATTTGATAATATCTCTGAGACCCTGAATTTGTCCTCATACAAAGCCAAGTTACCATGCTGGTTCCAGAGTAATCCTTGCCTCTGGAGATAGGATCATGGTATTGGACTCATCCACTCACCTTGGTGTCCACTTTGCCCGTAACCCAATTGGGTACTTGCTGACCTTTAGTTTCCAGGTTAAATTAGGTCTGAAGTAGCTTGTAGGGAGACAGAGTTTTGAATGAATGACATTTTCATATGAAAACATCCATCTTTGCTAGCTGGTCACAAACAAGCCTGACCTTTCTGTCTCTAAGAGGTTGGGGACTATATCTTTTTTTCCTTTCCCTTATATCTTAAGCACTTAGTACAACGTACCAGTTTCCCTAGTACAAAGTAGATACTTATGAGACTTTTGTTGAATTAATGAGCAAATTTTGTGTCCTTTTGTAAGCCTTAACTTTGTTGAACAATTTTTGGGGTGCCGAATGGGAGGAAGTTAACTGCTGGTTGCCAAAATTGGCCAGTTTCCCCCCCATATTTTATCTCATTTATTATTTTCATCTAGCTTATAAAAAAATGTGTCATTATTATATGTGTATAATAATGATTACACATATAATTATTATAACTATTCTAGGCTTTATGTTGTTACTGAAATGAATTCATGCCATTTAAACATATCACAACACAAATGATCCACATTGAATTAAAGGTTTAATGTCACAGAGGTTCCAGCAAGAACAGGTTCCTGATGGAACTGAGGAGGAAGACAGTAAGTGATGTAAGAAAAACATATCAGTAAACTTGTACATTAGGGTCTTGATTAGAAGTTATCACTCGTTAGCTGAAGGAATTTTTTATTACATGTATCGTTGCATGTAGGTGTTCACTATGCCTGGGTTCCTTCCACTAAGTGTAAGGATGGAAGGGGGGATGTGTTTACTCAGAAACACCATGACTATAGTTATGATGTTTCTGATAATAAATAGTTAAGTTCTGTCAATGGAATATTTCTAAAAACAATCCTAGGTAATGATTTTAGTGTTGCTTTCTCTTGCTACTTCCATTACCTTGCTTTATACATTTATTTCATTTACAGTCTTACCATGTGCCAGGTGCTGGGGCTCTGAAGTCACCACACTGCTCCTGCCTTTGAAGTGTTTTCAGTCTTGTGATAGAGACAGATGTATAACGAAATGTAATAGTGTTGGCAGCACCAGGTACAGGTTATATAAGTCAGAGTTGGGACTCAGAAAGGACAGGAATCTATTGGGGTGGAGGACAGTTGGTAAAGTCAGAGTAGTTGTCACCAGATGTGCGTTTTCTGATACTCAACCACAGAGAAAGTCACTGTTTCCTGAGCTGTTGAAATAACCAGCTGTGACGGATTTATTGAGCGGCAGTCACCAGCATGGCACCCTCCTAAGGCACTTCCCCTTAAGCATGGATCTTAGAGCAGAACCTTTAAATAGAATGTGACTTTCCCATACATTTCTGGTTCTAAGGGCACTGGCCTTGGCTGTGCCTTCATCTTGCATCCCCACTCTATCTACCCAATCTGTCTAGTATGGTACTTGCATATCAGTCCTCATTAAGTGTTTACAGCGAATGAAATTGAAGAAAATTCATATTGTGCAAGAAATAACGAGTATTGATTTACTTTATATTTTCTATTTTGTAAAAAGACTTCTAGAATTAATGCAAATAGCAGCTCCCCGTGATATCATATAATTAAGTTTGTAAAGATTTTATTAATTCACAAACTTTTCTGCAGTTTATTCCAGTGAATAAAGTAAGCTATGCTTGCATATATACTTTAGATCAATAACCCTTGTGATTAAAAGTTCACATTATAATAGCAGTCAGTGTTGTTTTGATTGTTTGTGAGCCAACAGTATGTGTATTTCTAACAATTGATTTTACTTTTTGTTTCAGAATTAAGACAGGAAGGAAGTAATCCAGAAATTTAAACTTGATATTTTCTTTAGAAAGTAATATTGGTTAATACTTGGAGTGAACACTTCTTTTTTCTTTTAAAGTTTTGTATTAAAAATAAAAAGGCTTTGGGCAGGATGGCTGTTTTTGAATGTCATATTACCTCCTCCCTTTATGTTATTCCTTGTGAATACAACTCAGAGAATAAATATTTAAACTTTTGTGATCTTTTCAGATACGGTTAAAAAACTCCAGGACCAAAAACATGACATGGAAAGAGAAATCAAGACACTACACAGGAGACTTCGGGTAGGATAAATCTTCATGTATTATCTTATTAGAAAACATAGTTTTCTGAAAGTTAAGCATAGGGTAGTCATTGACCATGTTAACATTCATGTTAAGCTTCAAATACAGTTATAATATTTGACCTCACTAGGCTTCAAGCAGAAAGCAAATATTATTTCAAATTGGGACTGGTACTAGATTCCGGGTAAAAGAATGTACTAGTAATTCGTGAGTGGTAATTTTTGAAAGATGGATTTAAGAAGCAAGTGGTATATTTTGGAAAGAAGGTTTATTAGCTTTTGATTATAAAGTATCTCAAGCCAAGCTGTTTTCTGTCTTCTTGGATTCGATCAGCTTGCCAACAGCAGTGTCACTCTGATGCAGAGGGTGGAGGAAGCTAATTTCATAGTCTTGGTCATGCCGCAGTTGCTGAGGCTGCCTTCAAAGTTTCAGAACATCGCTTTAGGGTGGCGGGCCCTGGGCTTGGGAGTGGGCAGCTGTGGCTGTGGTGGAGGTGACACCCTGGGGAGGCTTCCTCACCCAGCCACACCCGCATTCTCCATGGCTGTGGGAAGCAGTGGACTGTGCAGTTCCTTAGCTCCTCTTTGTCGCTATGATTTTGTCTGCCTAGATTAAGTTTAGTGTTTTTCATCTGGCTTCCTCTTCCTTTTCCTCTACTTTTGATTTTTTTTCCTGTTAGTGTTTGATGTCAGGATATTTATAGTGTTTCACTAGACGATCTTTCAGTATGGGTCACACACCATTTATCTACCTCCTTGAGCTTTTCAGAGGTAGTGCTGTACATTTTGGATGATGTATTTATTTTCATAAGACTTACTTTGAAACTTGAATGAGGAAGGGAGGCTTGACATTGCCATCATTAATGTTTATTGAGTACTTTTTGAATATTTGATGCCTCGGTAGACAGCTAGAAAATATTTCCCTTATTAAGAACAAGTTTCAGCCCAGCTGGCGTGGCTCAGTGGTTGAGCATCGCCCTAGGACCCAGGAGATCAAGGTTTGATTCCCGGTCAGGGCACATGCCCGGGTTGCGGGCTCAGTCCCCAGGTGGGGGCATGCAGGAAGCAGCTGATCAATGATGACTCTCTCATCATTGATGTTTCTGTCTCTCTCTCCCTTTCCCTTCCTCTCTCTGAAATCAATAAAGATACATTAAAAAAAGAACAAGCTCAATCATAATAATTGTGTTACCTGTTAGCTGTAGGTAATAGCAATTCTCTGGGACTTAAAAGAAATTTATTATCATTTGGGACAGGACATTACAGCAACCTAATCATAAACACATTTTATGGCTTTTAAGTAAGTTTTTATTGCTTTCTTTTGGAAATAAAAATTTGATTTTTTTAATATAGGAAGAATCTGCAGAATGGCGGCAGTTTCAAGCTGATCTTCAGACTGCAGTGGTCATTGCCAATGACATTAAATCTGAAGCCCAAGAGGAGATTGGTGATTTGAAACGCCGGCTACATGAGGCTCAGGAAAAAAATGAGAAACTCACAAAAGAATTGGAAGAAATAAAGTCACGCAAGTATGTTTTGAGAAACCAGTTATGTACATATGTTTTAGTAGGGAACACTTAAATCCCAATTTTGTGATGTGGTATTATGGAAAGAACTTGAGGTTTGATGCGGGGTGACTGAGTTTGGATCTAGTGGAAGTTACTCAACTTTACTGGCCTCATTTTGTGACAACTTTCAAAGTTGTCAGTGTCCATAATCATAACCTCTCTTGAGGAGGCCAGAATAGTCCCTTGCATAGGGTACATTATTGTTTTCTCCTTTCTTCTAGCCCTGTGACTTTTCTTTAGATTGTAGCCTTGTGATTAAGGATGTGGACTCTGGAGGAAGGCAGACTTGTCTCCCATCCAGCTCTGCCTCTTACTAGCTGTATGATCTTGGTCAGGGCCCTCAGTTTGTTCATCTTTAAAATGAAGACAATAGCCCTGGCCGGGTAGCTCAGTTGGTTAGAGTGTTGTCCTGATACACCAAGATTCAGGTTGAACCCCTGGTCAGGGCACATATAAGAATCAACCAGTGAATGCATAAATAAGTGGAATGACAAATAAATAAAAGACAGTACTACTTGTTTTACAGTGTTGCTGTAAGGGTTAGATGAGATATGCCTCCAGGGCCATGATGAATATACTAGTACTATTAGAGACCCAAGTAAAGAACGCAGAGTGAATTTCTCCCTGTCACTCACTTTAGGAATTTTCACTTGTTTTATGCTTATAGCCACATGAATCTCCACAGTAGTATTTTTTCTCATGTAACATAGAGATCATTGGAAACCCATCAAAAGTATTAGATGAGATGACATTTGTGTTGTGCCCAGAGTTTCTCAATGAGACACTTACCTACTAGTGGGAGAGAGCAGTTTTTGGTTTGAGGTTATTATTAAGAATTTGACTATTCATTACTTTGAGTAATTCTTAAGTAAGCATGGAAAAAAACTTAGAAAAATATTTAACAGAATATCTTTGAAAAGCTATTTTATTTTATTCTTGCCTAGCTCTAGTGTAAAGCACTTCTGTATATACGCAAGTATGAAGTTGTGTGGAGGAAAGTATGGTGTGATTGTTTTGGTTTGAGCTGTTGTGTTTTTTATTTAACACCATTATTACTTGAGACTGACTGAGACTAACTATGGATATTCATACTTTGGTATTCGGTGGCTGTTTCTTGAAAATGATTAAGAGAACCTGTTACTTCAAGGAAAACAACTGACAATATTTGGTGTCAGTGATAAATATGGGCTTTCAAGTGAATGTTAGGATTTTGGAAAACTTGTATTTGCCATTGTGAGCTTGGCAGCTTTCCATATTTAAAGTTTTCCCAATGAGATCGTTGGTGATGTTAACAAATGAGCCTTTTGAAAAATACATGGTATAATGACTGCATCAACATTTGGAAAATTAATGTATCTCAATGAACCAGTATTTTCCATATGACCAATGCATGATGTAACACAATCATATGTGGGTAAAAGATTCATTCAAAGTACAAGGTAGACCAAGGGATTTTAATGGGCAGAGTAGAAAAGTGCATTTATATGGTTTCAGATTCTACATTGTAGCTAACATTTAAGTAACTACCACTTGTTGCGTTTTGGTGTAATATCAAGAAAGAATAGCCACATTTATCTAAAATAACCACAATTATTTTAATATCATTAAAATTTTCTTTCCTTTTCCAAATTACATGTCTGTGCAAAAGCCTGCTTTTTTCCCCCCACATTGCAATAGATTGAATGTATAAGAAATGAGAATCTAGCAGTATTCCATTAAGCCAGACATTAAAGAGATATGCAAAAATATAAAAACACTACTGTTCTCATTAATATTTTCTGGTTTTGAAAATATAGTCATTTTTCATAAATTCCTGGGTTTATTCTTATTTTTAGATTAATTAAATATTTTAAGTATTTCTTAGGTTTAGTTTCTAATATGCTAAATTCCAGTAGATAAAACCTATACTTCGGTGTCCTCAATAATTTTTGAGAGAAAAGGGGCTCTAAGACCAAAAAGTTTGATAATCACTGCAGTACATTCTTTATTAAAACTTCTGACTGTATATCTTAAGGCAAAAAAAACTGTAAGAAGAGCCAAATGACAAATTTTCCTAAGGACTGGCTTAATTTTTGTTTACCTATAAACTTACTTGATAATTATGTGACATGCACAAACTCTTCAACTGAAATTTCATTCCATGTGAAAAGTTTTGTGTTAGCTCAGAGAATTAGAGCTGGTCAGAAATGTAGTGCAATTGATTTTTTAGATGACTCATGATCTGTCACACTGAGCATCTAGGAGACTCATGTTACTAATATGGGCTCAGTCCTAATGTGGGATCAGCCTCCCCCCCCCTCCTTTGTAGAAAATTCTATTTGGAGACCACAGCAGGTTTTTAAATTTCATTTTTAAAAAAAGTATGGACTTTTTAATTTCATTTCTTTGTATTTTCTTGTCTGCACATGGTATATTAGATAGAGCCAGTCTAGATTATCTATATGTGCTGGTGAGTTCCCAGACTCTCCTGAGAGGGCCCAGGCCTTCTCAGCAGCCCAGAACCTTGAGATCCCCAGTTCTGAGTCAGAGTCTTGGCTAGTCTGCCTCCCATTTTATTGCCAGTTGATCACTGATGTTCTTACCTTACACTTACTCAGATGAAAATGGAAACTGGCCCGGGTGGGCATGGCTCAGCGGTTGAGCGTCGACCTGGGATCCAGGCGATCGGGGTTCAATTCCCAGTCAGGGCACATGCCCGGGTTGCGGGTTCGATCAATGACTCTCTCATCATTGATGTTTCTATCTCTCTCTCTCCCTCTCCTTTCCTCTCTCTGAAATCAATAAAGATATATTTAAAAATAATAATAAAATAAAATTTAAAAAAAAGAAAAGAAAATGGAAACTGATAGTTACTTAACCTACTTAGGATAACCTGATATAAAAATTTTAATATCATTTCCTGGCATTTACTAAGCAAATGAGAATATTAGACTGAGTAATTTACTCAGCTCAACTGATAGTATTTTTTCTTTTAAACTGATACTTTTTAATGCTTTTCAGTTGGGAGGGGGAAATGTATATTACCTAGTATATATGTAAAAAATGCCCTGATTTCAACATTGTTTTCAGACAAGAAGAGGAGCGAGGCCGGGTGTATAACTACATGAATGCTGTTGAGAGAGATTTGGCAGCCTTAAGGCAAGGGATGGGACTGAGTAGAAGATCTTCAACTTCCTCTGAGCCAACCCCTACGGTAAAAACCCTCATCAAGTCCTTCGACAGTGCATCTCAAGGTAATTTCTTACACATTGTGCCAAGGGCAGGCAGTCATATTCACTTACCATTTGTTCTCTGGTGTAGTTTGATATTCTTTACTGTCTTACTCTCTGAGTCTCATCAAATTTCATATAGAATTAATGAGTTAGTCTTACTGAAAGGTGTTTTTTAACAGGAGATTTGGGGAATTTCCGGCTTCAGAGATCTTGGTCTCAGACTTGTGCCTTACCCCACACAGAAGTGTGTTTTCACACATGCCTATGACTTTGAGAACTTTCTCTGTGCTTAAGAACTTCAGATGTAGGACTTCAGCCCTTTCCCTTCCTCTGAACTTTTTCAGACCTGTATCCTCAAACGCCTACTTGGCATTGACGTTGAAGTGTTTCCTAGCCATCTTATTATGTCCAAAACCAAATCTTGTCCCTCAGCTTCAGTCTTTTCTCTGTGTTAATGGCAACACCATTCCACCCATTTACTTAACCCAGAAATCTAGGAATCTTCCTTCTTCTTTAAATCTTTCTTCCTCACCTCCTAATCCATTAGCAAGTCCTCTTGATCCAGCCTCTAACACACATACCTTTGCTTTGCCTACTTCTCTCCATCTCCAGTGGCACAATCAACTGCTAGTTCAAGCCACTATCAACTATTAATCTCAGTAACCTCCTAATTAGTCTCCCTGTTTTATTTCATGATAGATCTTATTTAAGATTTGTGTAACTCATATTATTATAGTTAGAATAAAATTCAGATCCCCATATGCCTAGATGGTTTGGCCCTGCCTTCCTCTTACCTCAGTTGAGCAGCTCTTCCTCCACCCTCTACACTGCAGCTGCACTGCTCTTTGGGTCCTGAAATAAGCCAGGCTCTATATCACGTAAGCTTTTTTCCGCCTGGAAGCACATCCTCTCTACCACCTTCTAGTAACTGGCTCCTTTTCATCTCTAACCTCCTCAGCTCTGGGAAAGGGAAAGGGATGTCGTTTTTTTAAACCACTAATTGTAATGAGTCCTAAAGCTTAAATTTTCATCTAGAAATCTTTGAACTTCATGATAGGCTCTATTCTAATTCACTGTAATAAGAGTAGAATTCCTAGAATCTGTATTCTGTGGTTATGCACAAATCAGTTTTAATTTACTTAAAATCAGAACAAAATTCACTTGTATACAATCACACATACTTCTGGTATACAGACATTTTGGAGAAGAATTAGGCAGTATCTGCCAATTTAAAATGTCATGTTCACAGACCCTGAAGTTTTTGTGTGTGTGTTTTTTTAATATATCTTTATTGATTTCAGAGAGAGGAAGGGAGAGGGGGAGAGAGAGAGAGATAGAAACATCAGTAATGAGTCATCATTGATTGGCTGCCTCTTGCATGCCCCTGACTTGGGATTGAGCCTGCAACCTGGGCATGTACCCTGACTAGGAATTGAACCACGATCTCCTGGATCCTAGGTCAATGCTCAACCACTGAGCCATGCCCGGCTGGGGCCCCCGAAGTTCTTATATATGACACTGGCACAAGAGTATAAAGATAGAAAGATAGAAAATTTTCAATGTAGTGTTTGAAAAAATGCAAAACGTGGAAATTGCTTAACTGCCCATTAAAATGGTTGTCAGTTATAACNAAGATAGAAAATTTTCAATGTAGTGTTTGAAAAAATGGAAAACGTGGAAATTGCTTAACTGCCCATTAAAATGGTTGTCAGTTATAACTTATCAGTACAGAATATTGTGCATCCTTTAGTAAGGATGAGGTACACCTTGCTCGAAGCACTGGTGTTAAAATATGTCTGCAATTCTTTATAGCAAATTGACCGTGTGGTCTCATTTTTTAAAAGTACAGAGATGTTTTCATTGAAAGTGCAAAAAAGATGCACTCTGTACTGCTTTTAGTGGCTAACTCTGTTTAATATGATGGGGTAAGATGAAAGAGGACTTTGAAAATGTATATTCTAAAATAAAATGATAATGGAATGCCTACACTAAATTAAAATCATGCAATTATTGAAAATAATAAAATGAGCTTTAATGCAAAAAGATAATCTGCTTCTATACTGTCCTTTTTAAAAAAAAAATTTTATTTTATTGATTTCTGAGAGAGGAAGGGTTAGGAAGAGAGAAATAGAAACATAAATGCTGGGCAGCATGGCTGGGAGTGTTCAGTGGAGGTTAGCATCAGTCTCGACAGTTTCCAGGGGAGCTGAGAGCATTGGTTAATATGTTGAACTCATAAGGGGAGACCAGTTACAAAAGCTTCCACTGCACCATGATGCATTCATTATGTACTTGTTTGTTTGTTTTCTAGTACCAAACCCTACTGCAGCCACAATTCCTCGAACACCTCTGAGTCCAAGTCCTATGAAAACCCCCCCTGCGGCAGCTGTCTCCCCTATGCAGGTAAGTGCCTGTGACTGCAGAGGCTCTGGGGGTCTCAGCACCTGAAAGGTTGTCCTCTTCAAAATTATTTACCCTTATGTCAGGTGGGATGGGGAGCAAATGACTAGGGATATAGTTGGAATTTCCCCCCCTAAAATACTGTGAATATACATAATTGAAATAAATTATGTAAATGTCAGTTGTGTTATTCTGAAAATCTCTAATAGTGATAGCTAACAACTATAGAACACTTAACTATATGTTCATCACTGTTCCAAATACTTTGTAGTGTTAATTTATTTAATCCTCACAGCAGCTCTGTTGGGTATTAGGTACTATTCTTATCCCTAGTTTTCATATGTGGAAACTGAGGCCCAGAAGGGTAAACAACTTGCTGAGGGTCATACAATTAAGAAGTGGTAGAGCAGGGATTTGAACCGGGGTAGTGTGGCTTCAGAGACCATGCTTTTATCCGCTATGCTAAGTTATTTCTCTAGGTTGAATATGTAGTTGGTGTGTCTCAGCCTCTACTGTGCATAACAAGTCATTCCAAAACTTAGTGGCTTAAAATAGCAATTTTACTATTTTTCACATTTCTCTGGGTTGACTAGGTAGTTCTTTGCTTGCATTGCCTGGGCTCACTCCAGAAGCTGTACCTAGTTAGAGGGTTGGGGGGGCCTGGGCTCAGCAGGGATGGCTGGGCTACTCTCTCCGTGTGGTCTTTTCTCTCAGGCTCCTGCATGGCATGGTGTCTCAAGCTCCAAGAGAGTGAAAGTGAAAGTGAGCAAACCCTGTAAAGACCTAGGCTTGGAATTTGGACTCTGTCACTTCTGTCTCATGTCTTTGGTCTAAACAAGTCATAAGGCCAGCCCAGATTCAGGGTGGGAGGGTCTGCACAAGGCATGAATTCAGAGAAGTGTGATTCATTGTGTGCTGTTTTGTAGCAGTCTAGCACAAGGGCGTTGGTGATCCATTACAAACAGGTTTCAGAAGGTGCTCTTCCTTGCCACTCTGGAAATGCAAACCAGAGTCAGGGCAGATGGTTGTTCCTCTGTAGTGCTCAAGCGGCCCTCTCATTATGCTCTTGCTGGTAAGCCCCTTTTGGGAAGAGTGGCTGAGGTAGAGTTTTCCACATAGGTGAGAGTAGGCAAAGGAAAAATGGCCTAAAACTATTACCTTGTGATACAGGGTAGCCTTGGCTGCACCTCTTTCCTAAAAAAGAGGGTTTGGGAGCATTTTCTTTGAGTGGAGCCTTTTGTACTTGTTTAACTACTGGCCATGTAGTTAGTGAGTGAACTTTTAAACTTTTTTCTTTGTAAAGTTTATTTTCAAAATGTGCTTCCTCTGCATTTGTGATGTTGCAAGTTAGTATCTTTGCATTTACATTTATGTAGAAGATATACTCAAAATTTAAAAGGAAGGCAAAGGGCATTCCATAATTTATCTATAATGAGCTTTTTATATGCTTGTAGTAATTAAACTTCTAAAGACCTGAAGATATAAATAAAAGCAAAGTACAGGTGCGTAATATAATAAACTGAGTGTTGAAATTTAATGGACAAGGCATCACTTTGTAAATCTTTGTAAAGATAAGAAGTGAAAAAGCTCATTTCTCTAACTTGAAAGAACTAATAATTACAAGCCATCTTCAGTAGCTTTTTAGCACTTGATTAGTTAGCACAGTTCTTCTCAAACCTAATTTTCCATAAAAATCACATAGAGAGTTTTAAAACACGTAGATTCCCAGGCCTCATCCCAATAAATAAGAATCTCTGGGGAATAGGGCTTAAGATTGGGATTGTTAGTTTTTCAGAACTCCCTGGGTAGGAATTCCACTTTTGGCTCTGAGGGAGTAATGTGCTTGATTACTCTGTCATCACAAACAGCTAGAAAGCTGGACAAAATAATAGTAAGCAATTATATTCAGACATTGTACAACAGGCAGTGTAAGACTGTGATCCATAAATAAAAGTTAAGAAATAGCCCAGCCGGGTGGGGTTCAGTGGTTGAGCATCAACGTAGGATCCAGGCAATCGGGGTTCGATTCCCAGTCAGGGCACATGCCCAGGTTGNGGCCGGGTGGGGTTCAGTGGTTGAGCATCAACGTAGGATCCAGGCGATCGGGGTTCGATTCCCAGTCAGGGCACATGCCCAGGTTGCGGGCTCCATCCCCAGTTGGGGGCGTGCAGGAGGCAGCCGATCAATGACTCTCTCATCATTGATGTTTCTATCTCTCTCTCCCTCTCCTTTCCTCTCTCTGAAATCAATAAAGATATATTTAAAAAAAAAAAAAGTTTAGAAATAAGTTAAATCCTACTGTGGCCCACACTTTTCCTGTTGGCAATGTCCAGATGGTGGTATAGGGAAGATGAGCCCAGATGGAGCAGGGAAAGGGAAACCAATGGATCTGAGGATACGCACACAGATCAGTGTTGAGGAGAATGAGCGAGCTAGAGTTTGCAGGCCACGTACCTGGGAGAAGGGAGCTACGCAGAAAAGGAGGTCTAGAACTATGTACATATCCCTTTGCGTACCCCTGCAACACTGGGTACGAACAGTTCTCCAGGAAAGAATAGTAACCAGGGGACTGTCAGACAAATGTTTCCCATAGTTCACAGGGGGCAGGTAATCATTTGAGCTCCCACTGGCTACTGTAGAAAAACCACTTTGAACACATTCATCAGAAACCCCTAAGGGCCACACTGTAAAGTGGAACTAAGTAGCCCTTGTGTAAACACTATTCTAGACCTGCCCTAAATGATCTTAAAAATAAGCCTCCAAAGAACCAAGGAGATCCATAAGTAACTGTGGGCAGCCTCTGAACCGCTTCCCTAGCCTCCAATGTGCCCCTCCTGGTAGTCATGCTCTCTGCAGTCTGCCCCTCTGGAGCTGTGGCTGGGCTCCGTGACTTGCTCCTGATAAACAGAATGTGGCAGCAGTAATAGGCTGTCACTCGCAAGGTAAGGCTGTGAGAAGATTAGCTTCTGTCTTGAGTGCTCCTTTTGCAGTCTCATAGATCTAGTCATGCCAGTGAGAGATTGGAAATTGAAATACTTAGCAATAAATTTAATAAAATACTGTATAAGACATGTACAATGAAAATAAAAATATTGCTGAAAGAAATTAAGTAATAAATGGAACAATACATTATATTAATGGATTAGAAGACTCATTATTGTTCATATCTTACAGTTCTCCCTCACACTGATCTATAAAGTCAACACAACCCCAGTTACATTCCCAGCATGCTATTTGTGGAAATTGATAATATAATTTTTAATTTATATGGAAATTCAAAAGACCCTGAATATTTAAAGCATTTGGGGGGAAAAAAGAAACAAATTTGGAGGACTTACACTACCTGATTTTAGCACTTAAAGTAATTAAGACAGGGTGGTACTTACATAAGTTTGAATGTAGACATTAGATCGGTAGAATAGATAGAAATCCAGAAATAGGTCACTTTAATTTTCAGCAGAGGTGCCAAGGTAATTCAGTTGGAGAGGGGTAGCCTTTCAACAAAGGATTCTGGAACAACTAGACATTCATGTGGGGAGAAAATAACCAAACCTCTTACCTCATGGCATTTATGAAAATCTAAATTGACTGTAGACCTAAATGTAATAGTTAAAACTACAAAACTGCTAGATGAAAACATTAGAGAAAATCTTCATGACCTTCAGGAAGGCAATGATTTTTTTATTTAGGACACAAAAAAAAATGAACCATATAAAAATTCATGAATTTGGCATCAAAATTTATTTTTTTAATTATTATTATTTTTTAATATATCTTTATTGATTTCAGAGAGAGGAAAGGATAGGGAGGGAGAGAGATAGAAACATCAATGATGAGAGAGTCATTGATCGAGCCCACAACTCAGGCATGTGCCCTGACCAGGAATCGAACCCTGATCGCCTGGATCCTAGGTCGACGCTCAACCTCTGAGCCACGCCCGGCCGGGCTGGCATCAAAATTTAAAACTTTTTTGAAAGACATTGAGAAAATGAAAAGACAAGTTATAGACTGGGGAGAGTATATTCATAATACAGCTATCCATCAAAAGACTTCTATTTAAAGAAGACTTGTTTGCCTTCTAGTTAATAATAAACAAATGATTTGTAAAAACCCTTTCCAAAAGAAGATATAAAAATGGCCAAGAAACACATAAAAATGTAACATCATGCGTCGGTGGGAAGTGAAAATTAAATCCATGGTGAGGTCCTACTACACACCCTGTAGGATGTCTAAAATGACAAGACCATATTAAATGTTGGTGAGGATGTGGAGAAACTGAACTTCTCGAACACTTCTCCTGGGAAAGTGAAATGTGTAATTATAAGTTAGCTAGATGAAAAAGGACTGGGCAGAAGCTGAGGAAATAAGCCTGAGAAAAAGAGAGATGGTCAACAGCATGGTCTGTGGAAATAAGCATTTTGGTGGTGTTTGAACATCATGGTAAGGAGCAGGAGATGAAGCAGAAGAACTGAGAGGTTTTCAGTGTTTGGTGCATACTTCTGGCTGCTCACAGAGGGATGTATGGATAAGACTGGATTGAGGAAGCTGGTAATAAAGCTTATGAAGGGTTGTATTGGGTCGGTTGTAGTCAGAGAGTAGGTGACAGAATTCAAATCTATCTGGAACCAGGGCATGAATTGAATGGCTGATAAAAGTACAATAGGAGCACATCTTTCTTTAATTGGTATGTGATATTTAAGAATTCCCTTTAAACAAAATAATGAGATTATACACAGAATACCAGTGGTTGCCAGGGGTCAGTGATGTGGGGTCAGGGAAGGAAAGGGAAGATGTAACTGTAAAAGGGCCATAGGAGGGATCCTTGTGGTGATGGAAACATTCTGTCTGTATATACCAATGTCAGTGTCTTTATTGTGACATTATACTGTAGATATACAACATGTTATCTTTGAGGAAAACTGGGCATGTGGGATCTTTCTGTTTTAAAATGATATATTGGTCATGTTATATGCCAGGGCAGGGGGGAGTTTCAGCCTTGTAACAGTTTGAAAGGGATCATGCAAATTCATAACTAAATATTTACTCTCTTTAGCTTTCTATGTGAGTCCCAGCTCTAGATTTAACTTAACTTGATAATGTTTATCTTATGATTTCAGAGACATTCCATAAGTGGACCAATTTCTACATCCAAACCCCTGACAGCCCTGTCAGATAAGAGACCAAACTATGGGGAAATCCCTGTTCAAGGTACATCTCATATGTTGCAGTATTTCACTTTTATTATTAACTTTTGAATTCTGACCTTTTTTAGCTAACTAAATTGTTATCTTCTTTGTTCTTGACATTGTTTAAGCCAGTCTGGTATACATCTTTCTCAGAAGTTTACTAATAATATATCTTAATTACAAATGGAAAGGTTAGTTATTAATAAGTGCATCTCGGAAGACAGCTCTCTCATAGCATCATGATAAGTAATAGAGAGTTTTTATTCTTAGGCACTGTGTTTTCATAGTTTTTCATGGTGTGCGGATTGTTATCTCCATTTTACAGACACTGAAAAGGCTTCACAAAGTATCTTAATGCAGGTTAATACAGTTACTGAATGGTAGACATGGGCAGTCAGACTTCAAAGCCCCCCCCCCCTTTTTAATATATCTTTATTGATTTCAGAGAGAGGAAGGGAGGAGGGGGCAGAGAGAGAGAGAGAAACATCAATGATGAAAGAATTATTGACTGGCTGCCTCCTGCATGCCCCTGACTGGGGGGTTGAGCCCGCAACCAGGGTATGTGCCCTGACTGGTAATGAACCTTGATCTCCTGGATCCTAGGTTGATGCTCAACCACTGAGCCATGCCTGACCGGGCAAAGCCCCTTTTTTTAAAATTTACCTTTTAATCCTCACTGGTGGGCACGCTGCAGAGAGAGAGGGAGGGAGGGGAGGAAAGGAGAAGGGGAGGGGGAGGGAAAGGGAAAGCAAAAAGGAAAGGGAAAGATATGAGAGAAAAACATTGAGCAACTCCCTTCAGTATGTGCCCCAAACAGAGATCAAACTCCCAACCCAGGNAAAGCCCCTTTTTTAAAAATTTACCTTTTAATCCTCACTGGTGGGCACGCTGCAGAGAGAGAGGGAGGGAGGGGAGGAAAGGAGAAGGGGAGGGGGAGGGAAAGGGAAAGCAAAAAGGAAAGGGAAAGATATGAGAGAAAAACATTGAGCAACTCCCTTCAGTATGTGCCCCAAACAGAGATCAAACTCCCAACCCAGGTATGTGCCCTGACGTGGAATCAAACCGGCAGCTTTTTGGTGCACAGGACTACGGCTCAACCAATTGAGCCACACCGGCCAAGGCTCCAAAGTCCATTTTTAAAATTTCTGTGCTCTCTATTGTTCATAAGAAGAAACTGAGACTCTGGAAGATGAGGCCCAGTAATTCTTTTCTGCACTTGTAAAGGGGCTTGCCCATTTTCAGACAGCTATCTAGGGTAGAGCCAGTACCAGAACCCAGGTCTCCTCCCTTTTAAGGTCAGAGCTCCTCTTATCCACACTGCATTTTATGTGCAGTGCTGAAGTGCATTGGAAAAATGGATTGTGGCATTGGTATGGTGCTGTGAAAAGCAATACTTCATTTGGGTTAGTTGTGGAGATGCCCAGCAGGTATGCACATCACTCAGAGCCTAGGCTGCCTCTTAGCTTATAGAGGCCAGTCATGTGTTCCTTTGTGTGTTCTCTTGGTTATAGGCTCTGTGGGTAAGACTACACGGTTCTGACAGATGTGGGGAAGAAATAAGCAGACTTGTGAGAATAATTCCATTAAAGAGCCTAGAGGACTGGCTCCATGGACTCCCATGTACCACCAGTGCAGGAAGAGTTCAGTTTGGCAATGGAACTGGTCCTATACCTGCCAGTCCTGAGTGTTCAAATAAGCTGCTCATACACACATTTAGGTGACAATGGAAGATGGTACTGCTGTTGCTTTCCCTGCACAAAGACTTGCCTTCTGTCCCTGCTCCTTGGCTTGTGGTTTGTCTGTCAATTATAACCCTGAGGTCTTTTCTCCCCTTAGAAGGTCCTCTGGCTATGGGAACAAATAGTGGAAGGTTTAAAGTCCCTCTTTACATCTTAACCCTGTTCCCACCCTCACCTCCCAGATGTATCCATCAAGGATTATGTATGTGTATGGTGCATAGATCATTGGCCTCACATCGGCCCTCACAGGGCTTTTGACCTGTTTGACACTGTTTCCTTGTTTGTAAATGGGGAATAATCATGAGTATCTAGCTCATGGGGTTCTTAAATCCCTCTCTTCCCAGGATCTCTTAAACCCTGCAGTCGGGCTTTCACCCTTAACTTTTTCATCAACATGTTTTCATCGAGGTTGCCAATCTTGTTTCACTAACCCAGTCAGCTTTCAGTTCTAATCTACTGTGAACTTTCAGCAGCATTTGGCCCTATTGAGCACTCCCTTTTCCAGGATGTTCTTTTTGGTTTTCATGGTGCCACATGCTTGCATCTTCTCTTTCCTCCTTGGCTGCTCCTCTGGCTCCTGTGCTCGTTCCTCCTCCCTAACCAGTAGTGGTGGTGTGCCCTAGAGCTCCATCCTAGGCCTGTCTTCTCTCTGTCTGTATTCACCCTGTCATTGTATCCTGTGTCTGTCTCTATTTTTAACTACTATTTTTATTCTGAGAACTGCCAAATTTATATCTTCAGCTTGTTCCTCTCCTTGGGACTGTAGATTCATATATCCAATTGTTTATTTGACATTGCCATTTTGATGTTGAATACTCTTAGACTGAGATCGTCCAGGACAAGATTCCTGCATTTTTCAAACTTATTCAGTCTGTATCTGCCTTCTCCACCTTAGTTAATGGCAATTTTATTTCTCAGAAACTTTGGAGTCAGTATTAATTCCCTTTGGAGTCATGTCTCAGACCCCATATCTGAGACCTGTTCAGTTCTTTAGGAAACCCCATTGGCTCTACTTTCAAAATATATCCAGAATCAGAACATTGCTCTTCCTCCACTACCACCTTCTTTCTTGGTCAAAGCCACCACCATCTCTCACCTGGATTCTGGCAAAAGATTTCCTAATCTCTCTCCCAGTCTATTCTTAACCCTACAGCCAGCATAATCTTGAAAACTATAAATTGGGACATGCCACTTTACTCAGAACCCTCCAATGTCTCCCATTTCTTTCAGAAAAACTAGAGTTTTTTTTAGTGGCCTCCAGACGCTCCTAGCCTGGCCTCAGTTGCCTCTCTGGCTGTAATACCTTTTTCTCTGTTGGTCACTCTGCCCAGCCACACTGGCTTCCTTGCTATCCTGGGGCACTCAAGCACACTCCTGACATAGTAGGCTTATGGCGGCTCTTCCTCTGTTGGAACACTTGTCTAGGAAGAGGGCTTGCTCTTGCAAGGTTTCCTTCAGATTTCACCTGGGTGAGGTCCTGAACACCATATTTATAACTGTAATCTTTTCTTCATATACCTCTTTCTCTGATCTCTCTCTCTCAACCTTAGCGCTCATCCCTTCTAACATACTATATAGTTTACTTATCTATAACTGTTTGTGAACTTTTTCTTAGTAGCACATGTGGCTGAGAATGATGGCTCTTAATTGTCCACGAGTAAAAGATTTTAGTTCATTTCAAGGCAGCCAAGGCCTGCAGGGTTTTGCAGTGGCTGTGAGAAAGCATCAACACACATTATGTTTTGGGAATCTTAAAAGAGCTGCGTGCACTGAGAGCAGTGATGGAAGCCAAGGGTCCAGGAGCACTCCCAGTCCCCTGCCTGTTACATATGCCCCAGTTCTGTCAGTAAAGTCAGCCTTCTGACCTGCAGTCACAGTCAACTACAGTTGGAGCCAGGAACCAGGACGCCACAGCCTTTGAGAATGTGTATAACCCTGGGCCTGTGACAACCCTGTGGGAGAGGCCCCTATCTGGAGAGCACTGAGGTGATCCTGGGATACCAAAGAATGCTGAGTCCCTAGGCTCCAGTGACCCTGGAGGAGGGCAGGGATGCCGTAGTGAGAAATGGGGCCTCTCCAAACTTCCTAAAGCCAGGCTGAAGCCAACCCTTGAGGCCTTCTCCCCTTTTTATTGCCACCCTCCAGGCTCATCTTAATTTGCTCACAGCAGGGCAAGGTTTACCAGGGAAAGCCAGCACCTACAGTGTTTCTTGAACTTACCTACTGATAAGACTTGCCTGAGTCACCTGACCAAATCGGGAACCCTGGGCCTTACCTCAGCTCTGTTGACGTGGGCTCTCCTGGAAAGGGAATTTGGAAAGTTCATTTTCATAAGCACCCCAAGTGAACCCTTTAGAAAAAGACAAATTTGGGAAATTAGGCAAAGATTATTATTTCATTTTTCCTGTTGCCTTGGCTTTTGTGGGTGGGGAATGGGGTGTGGAAGGCCTGTGAGCCAAGGTTATTGAAAACACAGACTAAATGTGTTAAGTGTCTCTGGGGCCTTCTGAATCAAATCTTTTTCTGGCTTTCCTCATTTTATTATCAGGTAATGTATCACACGATAATGCCATTGGGCATGGAGTGTATGTGGTCAGTCTGTGTTAATGACGGTCTAATTCTCCACTTCAGTCTGTTATAATGCCTTAATGGGGCTTAGTGGAAACAGTGCAAAGACAGGAGACAGAGGGAAACACACTTAGGCGAATTTTTATCTGAGAATTTGTTGATAGTGTGATCTTTTCTTACACAGTCACTAGAAAAAGAACCACTTACAAAACTGAGAACAACCAAATGATTCTTGGTAATAAAAAGCCACCATAGTTATCCAGACTTTTCTTCCTCGACTGTGTCTTTTATCTTGCCATAAATTAAAAAAACAGTCTAATTTTCATTTTGAGAGTTTTAGTGCCTTCATTACTGAAATTTAAAAAGCTGCAGCCTCTTGTTCTACTACACTTAAGTTAGAGAATTTGTGGGTCTTTTCCAGTTAAGTATTTTATAATAGGTGTGGGTTTTTCGTTCTATTTTAGCATCATGCTAATGTCAGTTGCAGAATGTTTCAGACCAACGAAATCTTATTATAAATGGACTAATCAAATGCTCTTTTGCCAGCAGTTGAGTCAAATGGCTAGGGCCATGACTGGTGTCCCCTCAGTAAGTCTTTAATAGACAGGATGTGAATTAGTACTTGTGGCCAAAGCAGGAAAGGATAGATCTAGTACCAGATACATGGATACAGGTAGTTGACAAGGTCTTTACTGTCCCCATTTGCACAGTGATC